ACCAGACAGTCCTGCTTCTCCCGTTTGAGTCTGTGCCCCTAAAGCCTCTCCCGGATCTGGAGCTCAGAGTCTGCGACTCCCTCCCGATTGAAAACGCCAACCGCGCACTTCCGCACCTCGAATTTGACTTCAGCACTGCGCCTCCTCTGAGTGTCCGTATACGTTACTCTTTCCTCCTAGTTGTAGGACTTCCACTCAGCCAGCGTTCCTGTGGTTCTGGATGATGTCCCTTCCGTCTTTTAGTTTCACTTTTGAAATGGTTGTTCGAGGCGGCAAACTCCGGCGTTAACCTATGCCGCCATCTTGGTTCCTCCTTATCTTAGTACCTTTTTGATCTTTCACATTTTTAATGTATATTCATAATCTTATTTTAGAACATATTAATGTGACACTGATGGAAAAGGGGGGACAGGGTTCATCACCCACAGATAATTGAGAAGCAATGATGTAGCCAACATTAGAATCAAGAAATTCTATTCATGGAAAGGCATACAAGGATGAAAAGCCACAGAATGGGGGGAAAATGTTTGCAGCACATTAAGTATTAAGAAAGTTATAAGAATCAATTCAAATAAAAATGGGCAAAAAACATGAACAGACATTTTACATGAGGAATACTAATGTCCGGTGAAGATGTGAGGAGTGTTCAGCCTCACTATCACCAGGGAAAAGACCGTTAAAACCACAAGGAAAGCCAGACAGCCACCAGATCTCCAGAAACAAGGAAGTCTCATAATTCCCAGCATTGGCAAGGACTCGGAGCCGCAGGAGCTCTCTGGTGGGCGAGCAAGCCAGTGAGAGCCTTTGGAACACTCTGGAAGCATTTGCTAGAGCCGAACATAAAGCCGGGCCATGAGCAGTAATTTCACTCAGAGACCTAGTCCTAGGAACCAAGGAGAATGTGTGCACGAACCCAGTGATGAAAGCAGCATGATCTGTGATGAAAGCAACGTGAAAACAGGCCAGTGGCCACCACCAGGGGAGTAGGTAAGCAGATGTGCGCTGTTCACACTATGGAACAGTAAACAGCTGTGAACACTGTCAGCACACAGTTTCAGACCAAGACATCCATGAAGCTCATGGCCTGCACCTTCTGTCCATCTGGTTCCCCCATGGGACCTGCAGGACATTTCAGGGTCAGACTGTCCTATACATTCAGTGACGTCCTAATGCTGGAGTTGTTCCTGTCTGCAGAACCTGCCCCTACTTGGTGCCCAAACATCATGGGGTGAGAGAGGGTCTCGAATGAGAGGGCCCTGAACTCTCCTGGTCATCACTGTGGTTGTCGTCACTGCTGTTAAGAGCATTTGACCCTCAACAAGCTGGTTCTTGAACCACAGGTACCTGTTCAGGTTGTTGTTCGGCCCTCCTGCTCCTCATAGGCTGGGTGCCTGCCCTTGTCAAAGGGGATTCCCAGCTCCTGTTGCTGTTCCCTGCTGTGGACCCTGCCTTTCTGATCTACCTCATCAGGGGCCTGGGGATGGCGTGGGGTCCATGAGATTCTTAGTTCTTACATCCTTGGTTCTTCTGTTCACTCCCCTTGAGGATGAGGCGGTCACGGCCCTGGCCTCTGCAGACGTAGCCCAGATAGAGGACTGGGTGGAAGACACACAATGAAAATGTTAAAACGTTGAATGAATGCACCGAGGACCCAGGACCTTCCTTTTCCTTCAGGAAATAACCTGCTGCCTCTCTTCCTTCCCAGCTGTAGGGCCCTGCAGCCCCTTAATCACTGCTTTCAGCACCGCTCCCCCCTCTTCCGCCCCCCGCCCCCATCAAAGATTTCATTTTAAATTTTGCCTAGTTGTTTCAATAGCCCTTCTGACTTTTTTCTTCTAGGAGCCCTCAAAATTGATTCCCAGTCTGCCCCACCCCCACCCCCATCAGCATCGAAGTAGAACAAACCCCAGCGTGGGAGGAGCCAAGTCACAGGTCAGCTCAGATCCCTGTGTGGTGGCTCCACGCTGAAATGGGTATATTTTTGTAGTTGTTCTTGTATTTTTTTTTTCAATTACTCAGTCTCATTTAAAAATACAGCATAGGTTAAAAAAATGTATGTTGTACAAAATTCAAAAGGGAAAAGCTGGAGTACGTGGTGGGAAAAAAGAGTCTCTCTCTCTCTCCCCATCTCCAGCCTCCCAGGCCCCTTCTCCACTATCACCGGTTTCTGCCAGAGACTGTGCGTGCATATCCACGATTGCAGATGGCGTGTGGATGTAGCCTTGCCCTATTTTAAACCCTCAGACAATAGCACACCGCACACAATGTTTGCTTTTCACTTGAAATTCCTTGGCCATTTAGCTCTTCTTAAAGGTTTCATACCACTCCACTATGTACAGGCTCCAAAGGCTGCACTGGGATTTTCTTTCCTACTTTTTGCCCGTTACAAGTGAGGCTGCCGTGAATAGGAACCCCTGTGTTTCGATGTCCTTCTCTAGGCTGTTTCCTGAGTAGTTAGGAGACTGTTTCATGTTTCATTTCCAGAAAAGAGGATGTGGGAAGGGAGGGGTCTTCTGGGGCCTGCTGGGAAATCAGGGCTCTGCTGTGTACCACCACCTCACCTTGGAGAGCCAGTTGTCACGTGGAGGTGACGTGGGAAAACTCCCATGAGAACCATCTGGATGACATGCAATAACACTTTGGTCAAGGTGCTTTAAGAAGTTGAAAACATACAGATATAAGAAGTGTAACTAATGGGGTAGATACTGCTAGAATCGTATCCTGGAACCAGCCACATTGCTTTATGTTTGGATAGATGGTATCCAGAAGGTTGAGAATGCCCAATCCAGATGGATTCAGGGAAAAACTGGGAATCTATTGTTGGCTGTAGGAGTTCATGGGGGAGGGCTGCCTTTAGGCATGGCTAGATTCAACTGCTCAAATGATGTCACCAGGATTCAGTTGCTCTATCTTAGCTCCATTTTGTAATGTACAGTGGTAGTCCCTTGTCTATGGGGGATATGTTCCATGACCCCCCAGTGGGTGCCTGAAACTGCAGATAGTACCAAACGCTATATATACTATGATAAAGTTTAGTTTATAAATTAGGCACACTAAGAGATGACCAAAAATAACTAGTAATAGAATATAACAATTATAACAATATACTGCAATGAAAGTTATGTGAATGTAGTCCCTCTCCCTCTCCCTCTCCTTCTCCCTCTTCCTACTCCCCCGCACCCCTCTCTTTCTGATAAACAGTCTGATAACTGAGATAGCTACTAAGTGACTGAGGAGCAGGTAGGGTATACAGCCAGGATACGCCCGCCGGACAAAGGGATGATTCACATATCGAGTAGGATGGGGTGGGAAGGCCTGAGATTTCATCAGACTACTCAGAATGGCATGTAATTTAAAACTTATGAACTGCTTATTTCTGGAATTTTCCATTTAATATTTTCAGACCACAGTCGACCATGGAAAACTGAAACTGTGGAAAGGAAAAGGGATAAGGGAGGACTGCTGTGTTGGCTCCATTCTCATCTCCTCTTGTGGGGACAAAATGGCCATGACGGTCCCAGCCTCGTGGCCCCTCAGGCTTTTGTACAACAGAAAAGGGAGAGAACCTTCTTTAGTAGTTGAACCAAAGGCCCAAACCGACTATGATTGGCCAGTCTTTGGTCAGGTGACCATCCCTGAACCAACCAGAGACTGTGATTCTCTGGTTGTCCCAACCTTTTCTGGGACTCAAGGCAAAGTCAGCCTCACTGGAGTCCTGTGGACTGAGAAGAAAAGAGTAAATACATGAACATAAACCACGTGCTGGTCTGGCGTTAAGTGAAATGGACATGGGACCATCGAGAGGGCACACGTTTTCACCACATTTGGGGACTTACTGTTCATGAACCTGTCATTTAAAAATTCTGGCTCCAACAGCTGAGTTCCCACCAAGGAATATCTCCGCTTTCTGTTTTGGGGGTGGTAAAAACAACTAATCCCATGCATGTGTTTGGCAAGAAAAATGTTTACGTACTGAAATGGCCTTTAAAAATGTTTCTTTATGAGACAGAAGAAAGCTCTTCCTCCTGCCGAGTAAAGAGGTTTGCCCTACAAAGAGCTGGCAAGATGATTTTCGTTTTCCATCGGAGCTGAGGGAAAGCAAACACAGGAACGCTGCGCACCCTCCCTGGCTCAGCCCAGCAGAGGGCAGGTGCAGGAAACCCCTCCATACACGTGAGGATGTTCAAATCGGAGCAAAGAGGGGAAAAAGCAATCATGGTTTTTTGATCCAACATGTGGTTGCTTTTATAATAAGCTCAGCCATGTATTTTGTCAAAAGGGAAAAGGTAGGAGGTCCCCAAATATGCTCCCTCGCCTTCAAGTTTTGAAAGAGCTGATTATGGGATGCAAACGACCCAGAATTATGCTAGGAAGTGATCGCTGAAATAAATAATTGGTGAGCAGGTCAGTTCTCTGATATTTTCTCAGTTTATGCATCTGTTTCAGCGTCTTTCTGTGCCTTTTTTCTGATTATTTTCCCAACTCTACCCTCAGGTCTTCGTGCCATGGGAGCCTGTCAGTGTGGCTGAGCTCCGGGGAACCCACCAGTGCTGGCAGTCAGTGGACAGGCCTTCCTGAGGTACGCACCTGCTCAGAGCCCTGTCCCATCTCACCATTCAGGTAAGTCAGCAGTTACCATCCTGCCCTTGACTCTGCTTTTGGAGAGAGGGGGGTGACCGTAGGGACAGGTGAGCCCCAGTATGCAAGCTGGAGGGGGCCTCAAAGGGCACAGTGGAGAGCAGACTGTCTGACAGCCCCAGGGACGGAGCAGAACCCAAGGGCTCCTTCGCTCTTTTTCTGATTCTATGGTCAAGCAGTTCCCAGCTCCCTCCTTCAAATATTTTGTTTCCAGGCAACTTGTTCCCTGACAATCAAGTACCCCAAACTGTGTTGGCCCTCAGATTTTTCTTTGTTTGATCAGTAACAAGTTTTAACATATCTTAAATTTAAATACCTTCGGGTACAGTACATATACTCTTTAGTTTTCCACAGTCCCCACCACTCCCTATTGCCTTCACATGCCTGCTCCATTATACCTTATCTGACTCTGACCTTCAGCTGGGGGTTCATGTTGATCACCTTGATTCTCTCCCTCCTTGCCCTTTCTCTGAAGTAAATAGCCTCAAGGAATGACTCTAGTCTTGTCAGTATACCCCCTTCTCACGCCTCCACTGCTTCCCTGGGCCCCACTGGGTCCCACTCTTCACATCTGCCTTTCATGTCCTCAAAGAAGCCATCCCCCCTCAGAATCTGCACCCATTCTGGTCGCTCTTCCCACCAAGCCCTCCGCCCCCTCCTCATTAATTCATACTCAGCCTCCAGAGCTCCACCCAAATGTCACTTCCTGCAGAAAACCCTTCCTGGCTGCCCAGACCAGGCTGGATCCAGTCACGTGCTCTGAACACCCTGCACTTCGGCTTCACAGCGACGATCTGATTGTCTTGCAATAGTTACCTATGGAGTGAACTAGTACTGATGTCTGCCTTCCTCTCGACCTCCACCTCCTCCCAGACATGAGCTCAGGGAGGGCAGGAACTCTATCTTGCTCATAGTCGGATCTCCAGCTCCTGGCACAATCTGAATGCTCATTACATATTGATGAGTGAGGAAGTGAATGAAAGGATGGTTAGGATGTCGTCAGACTGAGATGGCAGGGAGGAGAAATTTAGGAGGAAGACAGCCCAAAGGGCCCAAAATATTAGAGCATGGAGCTTATGACAGTACCAGGCGAAGTCGAGTTCATTCATAAATTCCAGCCTTCGTGAATGAGCTGGACGGCCGTAAGGTGCCTCATTCTTTCCCTCACCACTGTGTCCCAAGTGCCCACCATGAATGAGTAGGCAGAAGAGGTTTCCCAGCTTCTGTGGGTCCTTTTACTTGTCCCCAGAAAGTCCCCTTTGCACTCCCTCCGTAGCTTTTCTCACCTTCCCCATGCTGTTTAAACTCCTCACTCCACTTCCTCCTGAAATAAAGGTCATTCGCTAAGGTCTTCCTTGGTTTCTCTTTCTTCCATCTCAACTCTGGCCCTCAGCAGCACTTCTACTTGGTGGGGCAGGGAGAGCAGTCTTCCCAGGACAAGTTTCTCTAAATGTTTGTGATTTTGCCTGAATTGTTTTTATTTGAGGCTTAAATGGATCCATTGATTTTTCTGATCCACTCAGCAACTTTGCTATTTTTTATTATTTTTGTTGTTGTTAATCCTCACCTGAGGATATTTTCCCATTGATTTTTTTTAGGGAGATTGGAAGTGAGAGGGAAAGACAGAGAGAGAAACATCAGTGTGAGGGAAACACATTGATTGGTTGCCTCCTGCACGAGCCCTGACCAGGGCCCAGGCTGGAAAGGAGCCTGCAGCCATGGTATGTGCCCTTGATCGGAATCGAACCCTTGGTCCACAGGCAGACACTGTATCCACTGAGCTAAACCGGCAAAGGCTCAACTTTACTATTTTTATTTTTATATATTTTTATTGATTTCAGAGAGGAAAGGAGAGGGAGAGAGAGATTGGAACATCAGTGATGAGAGAGAATCATTGATCGGCTGCCTCCTGCACGCCCCCTACTGGGGATCAAACCAGCAACCTGGGCATATGCTTTGACTGGAATCAAACCCAGGACCCTTCAGCCTGCAGGCCGACACTCGATCCACCGAGTCCAAACAGCCGGGGCAACTTTGCTATTTTTAAATAAAAAAGGATGTGCCAAGAAATAGCAAGCCGAAACTCCCTCCATTGGTGAAAATCGTCTTCAGGGACAGCCCACCTTTTGGAGGCCTGGCGACGTAACGGAGGGGAGCGAGTGTGGGTGCAGGAGCGTGGGTGCTGAGCCAGCTCTGACCCAGCCCCTGCGGGGTGGCCCTGCCCAGCACTGGCCCTTTCTGCACTGTGAGGGAGCTGGTCAGGGGCTGGATCTCAAGTCCCTCTCTAACTCCGATGACTCCCCTGGGTCCCTGAGCTCAGGGTCAGTGGATGTCACGCTTTCCCCCTGCACTGAAACCCAGGAAAGCCCTAGAGCAGTGTTGGCGAACCTATGACATCCACTGACACGGATGTGTCACCTCTGACATGCCAACTCATTTTTTTGGTTGACTTTTCTTTGTTAAATGGCATTTAAATATATACAATAAATATCAAACATATAAATCTTTGTTTTACTATGGTTGCAAATATCAAAAAATTTCTATGTGTGACACGGCGCCAGAGTTAAGTTAGGGTTTTTCAAAGTGCTGACACGCCGAGCTCAAAAGGTTTGCCATCACTGCCCTAGGGCATGGGTCACCTTGTGGCAGCATCTGTGGGCTCACCTGTCTCCCTGGACAATCACGGTGCCAGTCTGGGCAGGGGGTGCATTGTGAGGTGCAATTTCCAGGAATGGAAGGAGATTAGAGAAGTGGCTCTTTCTGTGACTTATTGTCAACAAGTCTGTGGTGATGTGCTGCCTCAGCCCCAAGAAATTAATACAGGTTTCTCACCAGATACCCTTTGAAAATGTCAGTGTTGTCATGCAATCCAGACCCACTGCACTCCGACTGCAACTCCCCGTCAAGTTGACAAGCATTCTGTAGATTCTGTCCCAGGAAACACTGTCCTCTCTTTCCTGGGTCTGTGTTCCCTGAGATCTCCACCTGGTCAAGAAGATCAGTCACATACACACAGCAAGATGTCTGCTATCACATCTGTACTGAACACCACCACTGGGATTGAGTGCAGTCAGCACGTGCTGAATGCCCAGCACTGTCCCGGACACAGAGGCACCACACAGACCCCCTTGTTGTGTAGTGCGTTGGTCTGTCTGATCTTCACACTCCCCTGTAGGCTAAGTAAGGTGAAGCATTTTATACCCGTTTGGCAGATGAGTAAACTGAGGTTCTGGAGGTATGAAGTGCTTGCTCAAAGTCGTGTGGTAGGGCTGAGCTTAAACCCAGGATTCCTGCCCATTCTTTCCACAACACTAAGCCCCCTCCAAAACCAGTCTTTTGGGAGTCCGGGGAGAGGAAAGGGAACTCTCACAGCAGGTTTCCTAGGAGAGGTAGGATTTGAGCAGTTTTATAAAATGGTAGAATCCCAATGGGTCAGAGCTTGGCAAATTGTGGCCCAACTCCAGCCAGCCTCCTGTTTCGGTAAATAACGTTTTCTTTGAGCACAGCCTTGCCCACTCGTTTACACATTGTCTGTGGCTGTTTCCATGCTGCAGCAGCCGAACTGAGTGGTTGTGACAGGAACTGTGTAATGTGTGAAGTCTAAAATATCTACTATCTGGCCCTTTAAGAAAAAGCTTGCCGACTACTGCAATAGATGGGTCCGTGTGTGTGGAAGGGGTTTGGGGGGCGGGGAAATGCCTACAATCTAAGGAAATCCACAGCTCCTGGTTAAAAGTAGCATTCAATTCCTTGGAATAACTATCTTTCTAGTCTTAATAAAAGCAAAAACGCCTATGATACCTACTATGTGCCAGGCAATATTTTAACTGCTTTACACATAACAGCTTTTTATTATGATCATCATCCCCCTTGTATAGATGAGGAAACGGGAACAGAGAGATCAAGCCGCATGCCCCAGCTTGCACAGGTAGCGAGTGGCAGAGCCAGTGTTCCGAGCTGGGCAGCACACGCCAGAGGCTGTGTGCGGAGCTGCCTCCGTATTGCTTCCCACACCCTTAGGAATCCCCAGCATTCATTCATTCATTCATTGGACAAGAATGTGGAGAGCCCTGCTGTGATGCAGGCCTGGTACTAGATGCTATACGAAGAAGAACCAACTATTTCCGCTCAGGCGTTTTCCTGACGTCCCACACACCCTGCCACTCGCCTGGGAGCAGAACCACCGTTTGCAGAATGGTGACTGTCTTTTGATGCACTGGCCTTGGGAGGTTCGGGAAGCTATGACAGAGACAAAGCGCTAAAGCCATGAGGCAGTGATCACAGGCAGAGTCACCTGCTGAGTAAGGCAGGGAGGGAGGCCGTGGGCCCTGTCGTGACGCCCAGAGACGAGTCACTCCGGCCTTGAGGACCTCTTACATCCATTGAGGCTGCAGCTCTGCTGAGAGCCACCTCACGATTAACTGGAGCAGATGAGGATGGCGGGCAAGCCGGCCAGCTCCGGCATTGCACCTGCCCATCAGCGCCAGTCAGCTTTGTTCAGCTGCCCAGGCATCCTAGGGCGTCCCCCGCCAAGGTGATTGGTGCAAGAAAATCCAGCATCTGCATCTTATCGGGAGACGCAAACTCTCATACTGATTATTTCATCCAAGGCTGGGGGCGGGGGGGTGAGGTGGCCGCCCCGCTGCAGTATGTTTCAGAGGAAACAAGGGCTCCCACCTACGGAGGTGAATTTACCTGGCCCTGGCCTCTTGCCACTCCACCCCCAGCTGCTGGGGAGCTGGAACGGGGAAGAGAAACTGTCTGTCAGCTCTCTCCACCCACAACCCCTGCTCCTCAGACAGCAGGTCCAGGAGGAGAAAAACAGGTTGTACTTCAGTGCTGCTCAGCCACATAAATCCTCCCCCTCCCACCCCATCAGCCCAGTGCCAAGAAGAAGCGGAAGGAAGATTTGATGGGGCTCCCTGGCCCTGGGGAGGATGGCACACAGCATCAGTCATGGGGAGTGGGTGTCATGTTGGGGGGGGGGGAGAATACGCTCCACCCCAAACGAAATGGAAGGAAAGAAAAAATACCTGGGCATGAATAACAGGCTGCCCTCTCGAGATAGCTGCATTATCTGGAGGCAGGCAGGCAGCCCGGGGCAGGACAGGGAAGAGTTCCCAGTTCTGCAGCCCTCAGGGGACAGCCACCTGCAGCACCTGCCTCTGCCCGTGACCTCGGCCTCGGCTGACGGCCCCTGGCACAGCTGCCGGTGAGCTGGTCGGCTGGGGGTTTGGGGGGACCCTCGCAGTTCAAAGAGGCAGGCTCCAGAGAAAAGGGCGGAGCACCAGAACCCACTTCAAGGACACCCAGAGCCTGGCTGGTACCTCAGCACCTCTGCGCCTCCTTGGCTGGTGCCCCTGCTCTGAGGGGTGGACACCTTTCACCACCGGCCCCCTGCCCACATTCCTTTTGTGCCTAAAGCTAAAGGCTTAAGCGAGCTCCCCGCTGCAGGCAGGCCTGGCCAGGATTTCAGGAATGAGCTGGCCAGCAGGCGTTGGTTCCAGGTGCCCAGTCCAATCAGCAGATGCCACCGTTTATTTAAATCAGCAAGTGACCATGGAGAGTCTCCGTGTGCCACTTGGGCCCAGGCCTGCTCACTCAGCGCTGAATGTCTAGCTGCGGGACATGGATCCGAAACAGATAAATACAGAACCATCAATGGCACCGTGTGCTCTGGAAGAGAAGAGCCAAGTGCTGAGACGGCGGGTACCAGGACCCCTAAGTTCGCTGGGGGCTCAAAGGAACTGAGGAGGCAGCTATGGAGCCTTGTGGTGGGTGGGCTGTGGACGTTGTGGGAGGCGGACGCTGTGCAGCCAGAAGAAACCGCCCCTGTGAGCATGTGGTGTAGGCCCCCAACAGGCCGCCAATGACCCAAGTTGGGTACAAGGGAGAGAGTGACATGGGAAGAGGACAGGGGCTCAGTCATGGCCCAGTGTGACGTGGCTGTTACTGGGTTCCCCCCAGGCTCACGTATCAAACAGCGCAGCCCCGAGCTCTTTATCAGGATGCTTGCTATTGTTTGCTTCCTTTTTCTCTCTTTCTCAACTTTACATTTGGCATGCATTTCATTTCCTGTCTGTGTGCTTCAGCGCCATCATTCGCCCTCTCTGAGCTATCCTGGCAGAAATACATGTCTAGGAAAGAAACCAGAAGACATGAGTCTTAAGTAAGACTCTCTGGGGGCCCTGACTTAGGGGCTCCACCCTGGAGACCCCACTCTCTGGCCAATGCTGAAGGCAACACTGTTACAGTGCAGGAGGGGAGGGAGCCAGGGTCTGGATTTGAGTCCTGATTCTGCTCCCAGTTGACTGTGTGACCTGGAGCACGTCACTCACCCTTCCAGGAGTT